AAATTTTTAAGCAATTCAGTTTTTACGCATCATATTACGACCTATTCCTTCTTTAAGGACTTTGGCAGCTTTAAATTTCATAAGCGTATCGTCTTAACGGCCGCCTCTTTTACGACCGTTACCTGCGTATTATATAACAATAATAATTAAAGGAAGTTATTTAAAGGACACCTTTGGGATTATTAACGTATTATTCACGGCGTAATTTAGCTCTTGTCGCGCACAGTTTTTTTAACTGCAATGCGTCTCGCTTTCGGCGCGGCGCGTGTGAGATGGGTGTCTTGAGGAAGCCAAGTTGTGCGCTTTAGGAAGTAGCTATCAGCCGAGTCTCGAGCGTAGGTTTGGGCGTCGCGACGCCCTCACTAGCAGCCTTTATAATCTGCTACAGGTACCTAAATAAACCAACATATTTCATTCTGCACAAACACGTTCACAGAATCGACTCATCACTTCCACTAATTCGCACAACTGTAATTAAGACGCCGACGAGTTGTTTTACATCTTTTGAACACGCTTTCGCAAACACTAACCCAAAGTTTAACGTAGTTGGAATTTGGAAGCATTAACACGCCACGAATAAAATTTGCAGCGATTATTTACGTTTTATTGCACATTGCTACATGCTACCTACGAACAATGGGCCGCAAATCAATTCAAATGTGATGCACGCTTGAGAAGTAATCTCCTCGAAGATTTAAAAATTCATCCGTGGGGGGAAATGACTCTTGACGACTGAAAATCGTCGATTATTCGGGATTTGCATCAGTTAAACGACAGCTTACTGTGTGTTTTAGAAACATTTTATTTTTAACCTCAGATTTAACGACAATTTTTATTTCTGATATTAACTAAACTTCGCCTTTTTTAAAATTCAAAAGTCCGTGTAATATTAAAGCTATTTTATATTCTTCCGGAAACAATCGGCCATTCATAACACTGTCGTGATTTTATTAATATTTTACAGGCAATTTTCACGAAATCACGAAGAACATTTTGAGCAGATCACAAAATAAATAATTACATCCCATCCTGCGAAGTTGGGAATTATTTGCTAAACTGATTAACAGCAAATATTTCTGATCGAAAAATATCCACTTCCTTCAGTACACTCACTCGGACTAATAAGGTACCTTAGCCATATATTGCCATGTTCCTAATACTGCCAGGACTAAAAAAATTACCTAAATTCAACATAATAATAGGAATAATGAAAAAAATAATGAATTGAACTATTTTAAATTAAAATATAATGTATAAAAAATATACCAGAAATTAACAAATTACTCAAGGCAGAGGACAATTAAAAATGTCTTTATTATTGTTATTATTATTGCTATTTTATCATTCAATAATAGGTAAAAATTGTTTAAATAACTAAATAAAAAAACTTTTAATGTTATTTGATCTAGCAAATTAGCATACGGGAAGATTTGGAACACCTATAAGTATGTTCCAACTGTTGCCACTTACATAAATTTATAAAAAAATGTCCAAAAATCATAACTGTTGAAATTACTTTTATCAATTTCATTTTTACTTAAAGAAAGGACACTTACTAATGAATCTATTAACAAAATTTTAGCTTTTAGGTTCTCAAACTTAATTTGCCAATAAATTTTAAACCTTAAGGTGGTAATATTTGGTTATGTACCTTACAATAATTCTAACATATTTTATTAAATGTACCCCACACTCTAGCTAACGCTGGTAAAACTAATTCCGTAAAATTTTCTTGTCTTTTAATCAGGGCAAGTATGTCAGTATCTTCAAAAGATTTATTTAACGATTTTTACTTCTCGGGCGTGAGCTAAGAAAGTATTGTAATAGAGTCCACCCGGCGAATTGCTACTTTCACGTTTTCTCGATGTTTCATGATCCCTAAAATATCAAAAAATAGCTCTCCTGTTTCTATCTTTCTGTGTGTCGTCTGTACGTCCGTTTGTCATCTGTGTCGATTTTCATTAGACAGATACTTTCTGAAACTACCAGACCGATTTCTGCATTTTATCATACTTGTGACATATGGCATTACCCAACAGTTATCCAAATTTTATTACTCCTAACTTATGGTTTATGAATTCGTCCTAAATTTTACCTTGGACGTCCAAATTTTTGGAAAAAAACTCAAAATTGTATAAAATATTTTACAATTTAATTTTGAAACTGTCTAACTCAATGCCTTGATCAAAATTTATGCGTTTGTCCTACTTCCCAATTAATGACTTCCTCTCAAAATGTTGCCGTATAAATCTTGTCGACAATTTGCAAAATATTATTATATATATTATAGTCTATACTTGTGATTTACCACTGCGTTTATATTTTTAGAATTGTTTATACAAGATGACTGAAAATAATTAATGAATAAAACAGTTTATTTTATGCATCATTCAAGAACAGCTTACCCTATTTTTCCGAAATTTTGAGAATACAGTATTATTATTACTAGTATTATACTGCACCCAACCAAATTGATATACGTGTCTTTGCTAAAATGCTTCTGTACGTTTACTTTAACACTACACACTTATATTCATTTTAACTTATATGGGTTATCATAAAAAAAAAATCAAATTTTATAATTTTTCGAAAAATTTGATATGTTCAGGGGCGAGAGAAGTTCTATCTTTGACTGCATTCATTTTTGTAGTTTCAAAATCAAACTGTAAAATATTGTTATGCATTGATTTTTTTTTGCAAAGATCTTGATGTCTAGGGAAAAAATCAAGACGGATTCATAAACCAAAAGTGTAGGAGTATGTTATTTTATAAAATTTAAATAAAATTAACTACGCAAAAATTTTAGGTGACGTCATCACATTGTTGGTAGGGATGATTAGACGGTGCTGTAGTTTTGAAGATTATCTGTCTAATATCATTCATATTCTAGGATAAAAAGCATGCAAATATTTAACCTAAAACATGTCTTTGATATTTCAAAGTTTTACACTTATTTACAGTAAATTTCATTTTGTGGCAACTGTTTAAAAATTAAGAATTATACGGTAACTTTGGAAAATAAGTTTACAGACGATTTTTTTAATGTCTTAGATCTTCCGTCATATTTATACTAACGAGCTTGTTGATTTACACTTTTATTAAAACAGGTATTCTTATGGTTATTAAAAAAATTAAAAACTTATACACTCCATTTTGTGTAGGTATGCATAGCATATTATTTAACAGTAGTCGCATGAGTACAAAAACTGTTATAGGTATGTGTTTATTTACTCCAAGTTACTTTAATAAACGACAACAACGTGTTTGATATCTAGAATTTGTTAAGTTTGAAAACATGAATAATTACATTTTAATAATTGTTAATTAACACTCCTATTTAAATTATAATATAAGTTGCAACTACGGAAGCCTAAAGTTTTAGGTTGTTGCGAAATGCAATTCCTCAATCAATCCATTCTCAGCTATTCGCTATGTAATTAGTCTTAGCTTTTACACCATGTGAATTGTCAATGTTTCTATGAAATATTGTCCTGCAAAATACAATGTGAGACACCTAATAATTAGGAAGTATATTTATTAACATGTTATAATTTTAAAACCACTAAATTCATCTTAAGAAATCTGGGGATGCACATAAGCATACCACAGTTGTAATACCCCGTACATGTTCTACAGAAAATCAATCTTGTATGCAGCGCGCCATTCTTTTTATAAATTCCAATATATGTCGGATGTGACCCAAAACATCAATAGTATTAATCATGTATTGTCGAGGGGAAGTCGTTTATTCGAAGGTTTCTGTTAAAGTCATTGATTTCTGAATACATTTACATAATATTATTGTAAATGTTGAAAACTAGTGCACAAAAACTTTACAGATACTTTTTTAATGAGGAAAGTGGAGTAAACTTAGTACAGAATGTCGAATTTATTGACTAGCGGTGACATAAAAATGTCAGACCTATAAACAGATTTAGATAGTTATTTCCGGTAATGAACATAAATCGAGAAAATGTTGATTATCCGACAGCATCATTTCTGACGTAGATCTTGTTATTAGCTTCTCGGTAATTCCACCGGGATAAACGTAGTGTCAAAGTAAGTCAAACAATCTTGTTGACGGAGCGAACATTAACTTAAGGAAGTTTTAGGAAAGGATATAAAGAGAGCAGTTATTATGTTTTCCGATTATTTTGTCGTATAAAACACATTTTGATGCGCCATCATTTATTGCGACCCAACTTCATAAATTACATGATTAGATATACGTGCTCCATTAGAGTTAATTTTAAAAGTCATTTTAGATACTTGAGGGAAAAATATGGTTTTTAAATTTAAAGCATTTCGTGAATTTTCTTGCACGATTTCTTAAACATACCGCTTTACTATATTAACTCAACTACTTTACATTTGATAAAATAAACAGGATACTTATTTTATTTCTTGTACTCGGAGATGTCAGCAACATTCTGTTCTTTTTCTTACAATTATTTAGCACGTTATGATTGGGTATTATTTTAATTGTAACTTGTAACCTCCATAAAAATCAACTTATCTAACACTTTTACTTTATAATAAATTAACACCTTATTTTAATTCCTGCATCGAAATCCTTTCACCCAGTCATTGTGTAAAATTAGTCTTTGTAAAAGCAAAAATAGAACTGCCAAGCTCACAGTTTTGAATTCATAATTTCTATGACAATTTATAATTATCAGGAAATTTACTGACACAAGCAATTGTGCTTTTTGCAAAAACAATTACTAACACTTGGCATAGAATTAATTTATCCGTATCCTACTCAAAGTTCAATATTTTGATTGACATCTTAATTAAACAATATTCAGCATACAGTTTTGAGTAAAAACTTTAATGATCAGATTAACAACCCCCTTCCGGACTGATCGAAATTTATTCATTTAATCCATTAATCCATGAGAAAATTTGCAAGCAAACGAGGATTAGCTTCTGTGCTTGCAGAATGTTGTTAAATGGTAATGCGAATTCAACTTTTTCAAAGTTTATTTATTCTTTTACAGATTCAGCCATCCTCATGTCACATCGCGCTTGGAAAAACTAATGGGTTCCAATTTAGTCTGTTTGACGGACAGGGATTATATGCAAAAGCTACAAGAACGCATTCTAGAGGACTATGCTGAGTCTATGGACAAAAGGATCAAAGTCCGAGAGGTAAGTAGATGCTCCAGAACCCAATTATTCATTTTGTTTAAAGAATATTCTCTACTGTAAAGCCACCAAAGATTTGGTTACAAACGAATGTTTTAAGGTCAGATATGTACGGCTTACATTTATGTTAAATGAAGAATCTTTTTAACAATGAAGAACTTCAACCACATTTAATTTACAACATGCTAGAAAAAGTCACGGCTTTCGAATTAAATTTTTCTCGATTTGAAATTACATTACATTTTTTCAGTGTGCAATATAGTACCTCGTTTATTAAAAAACTGAAACGTACCGTAAAATTCATTATTCCTCCAGTGGACGGGTGGTCTCAAATTCACACCAGTGCACTGGTGAAGGCTGTCAGGACCATAATTACAATAACCGTCATCAAGTTAACAAACTTACAAGTATCCCGGATAAAACTTCGCGGTCTCATATCTTGAAAACGGATAGAAATATTGAAATTTTGAAAATCCATTGTTTTTAGCTTGACAGGGAAAGTTCAATTTAGTGGATTTCAAATATAACACATATATAGCGTCGGCTTAGCAACAGGAATCTATATTTTTTTAATTTGGAAAGCATATTTTTAAACGGATTTTGATAGATGTGAATACAATACACTTATGTGTTGACTTTCTAAATACAATTAAAATATACCACAGAAAGCATTTTACTCGTTTGATAAATTTTGTAACAACAAATTTAAGGATCTTATCTGAAACCTCACCCTTGAATGTAAAAATGTAATTTTAAATGTAAATATATATGTAATATAAATATCTGTATGAAAAGATATATCCAATTGTCATATAAAGTAATGACGTGCAAACACAATTCTAGGTAGGTACTACTATTGTTAAATTTTAACGTCAAAAACCTAAGACTAAAGTTAAGCATTTCTTTGCTGCTTGTGGAAAATAGTTGAACTTTTTAATTCTGAAAAACATTGGGCAGCTTGCAGCTCGATTTAAATTTATTTTTGTGGTGATACTTAAAAGATTTGGCCTATTTGCGACCCTTGCGTGATTTAGGGGTTTAAAAAAATTGAATTGGGAATGTTTGTGCCTCTTTAAAACCTGATACTGTATTAAAAGCGACAAGTCACGAACTATAATAAGAAGTTTTGTGTTCAGTGTGAAGGGCGACATTTCGAATATATGCTTAAATCAATATTTTAGAAACAGATCTTTTGTATAATTGTTTGTAAAATAAACTGGTAGCACTTTATTTCATTCAACTTTAGTTTTTTTTTGTATTCATGAATTTTATATTTTTTATGGACTGAAAATGTAATAAACATCTATGTCACTATAAATACTATATCATTGTAATCGTAATCACTGAAAAGTACTATATATTCGTTGCAATTTAATAAAACATTTAATAAAACAAAGGTTTGGGTCGAGACACCGACGCCATAATATACCTATGTGTACCTGAATATGTACACATACAAGGTGTTTCATGAGTAATGCCGAGCCTTACAAACTTTAAATGCAACCAGCAAAACATGTTGCACTGCTAATAAGATAGTTTTTGTGCAAAGACTGACTATGTTTTATACGTATTTTTTTTGTTGTCAACATCAATGATGCGTCTGTGATGCCTCTGAAAATGTATTGTGTATTGCATTTCCAATTCTGTAAGACTCGACATTACTCGTGAAACACCCTGTATATATGCCAATTTGCAGTATGCTAAATTAAACTTTCCCTTCAGGCTAAAAACAATGGCGTTCATAAAATTGTTTATTTCTCTATCCTTTTTCAAGATATAAAGCCGCTGGACATCTCTATATATTTTTTCTTGACTCTAACACGTGTATTTTTGGTATACCTATTTAAGAATTAAACTAGAATCTCTGACTTTTTGAGTTGTTTAATTGTTATTAGAAGGTTCGGTTAGGTAAATAAATATATTTTGAATTGTTGAAATAAGTGTTATTATTATTAAAACAAAAACATTCACTAAACTTCATAATTCATAAATATTGCTGTTAAAAACATTGCAAAATTCTGTGCAGAAACTTTTGAATTTTACCCTACTTTATTTTCTGTGAATTAATAGCAGTATATTCTGTGTTCCATGCACCACCAGAACAGTTAAAACTTGCAAAAACATCGTGTTTCTGTTTTTTGCAATATTCAATACACTATACCCACCCCTATTTTAGAAATTTATTCTAAATCGCTAGAGCTCGTGGAATACAGATTTCTGATGGAACTGGGCGCTTTATCCAAAAGTAATTTAAAAGATTCCAGAAAATAACACTTATACAATAAAAAATAAAAGTTATAGGAGAGTTTGGATTTATGGATTAAAAAACAAAAAAATTACAAGCAATGTTAATTTTTGCATGGACTAGTAGAACCCACCCGTGTACTGGAGGGTGGCTGTTGGTCGAAAATTGTCTTGTAATGCGTAATTAGTTATTTGAAGCATACCTACATAGCGGATTAATTAAAGAAAGTAAAACAAAATTCTTATAAATGAGTAATGTGCAAGATTAAACGTGTTTTGTGCATTATGGTTCAATATTGTAATGTTTGGGAAAAGAAGAAACAGTAACAGAGCAGAAACAACCAAGTAGTTAGAGTAAAGAAAAAAATTAATTAAATATGCAAAACAGTCAGTCGCGTGTCAACATTTAAACAATGTGTAAAAATGTTCTCTATGCTCCCATAAGAATGCCAATTTACACGAATAAGTGGGCGCGAAACTTGACAACATGATAATTTCAAGCGTCGAACGACAACGTTTCGTGTTCATAGACGTGGGAGAGGATCCCAATAACCAATCGCAATAGTAGAAAACTATTCGAAACATTCGCAGACTATTTTATTCGCTTTGTTTCTTTTGGCTTATCGTACCTTCAATAAATCTGGATCTTTGGAGTCTAATAAAACTCTTTGGCATTAACTAACGCAATTATCAACAAAATTGTCTCTACTAATTGTGTAAATAATATAGACTCTCCAAACAGGATAAAGTCGAGGGAGCAAAATAAATATACCGGAATATTTTTTACATACACCGTAAGTAAAGTTTCGATGTTCAGTTAAAAAAAAACACATCAGTGCATTAGGAGGAAACATATAATCAATCTTACATAGAAAATACAGATCTAATTTTCTGGAGTAACAAATTCCGAAGTAGTTCGAATAAAGCTAATGAAAACATTGGGTTTTATTTTGCATAGCATAAGATATTTAATTTCTTTTCCTCAGTTAAAAGATAATTTGTTCTATTTTTTTAGTGCTTACGAGTATATTCCACGCATCGAGTATTGTTTACATTTTTGTAAAATAATTTTGAGACTAATTCAAACAAGATGGCATTTAGTTTTTTTTTTAATGAAATAACTGATTACATACTTCCAATACCTCATATATCCAATATCCAATATCACATTTTACACATTTAAGATAGGATTTACTAATCAATATTTTGAAGTGACGTCATCAATTTTTAGGAGGGATGAGCAAATACATTTTGATCAAAAATTTACCGTGATTATGATAACTTTAAAACATCTCCAAGATTTCAAAGCATTCAGTTTTGCCGTTCCTGATTAAATTAATAAAATAAGTTCACGCATTCGTTAATTTTTTTGAGTAAGCCTGTATAATCAAATCAAAAAAAATATGAATGGAATGATAAATCACAAGTAAAAACTCATTATATTTTGCACATTTTAATTAGGATTTATTCAGCAAAATTTTGAGCTGACGTCATCAATTTTTTGGAGGGGATAAACAAGTATATTTTCATTAAAAATTTATTATGCTTATCACAACTTTAAAGCATTTGCAAGATTTCAAAGATTAGGTAGGGCAGTTTCAAAATTAAATTGCAATATGTTGTTTTTAATTTTAATTTTTTTTCAAAAAATCTGGACGTTTCGGGTAAAAACAGGCAGAGAGACAGACAGACGGAAACAGGAGACCTATTTCTTCGTACTCTAGGGATCATGAAAGATCGAGAAGACGTAAAAGTCGAGAGTCGACTAACGGACTTGATTACAATACTTCCTTCGCTTACGCTCGGGAAGTAAAAATGTTCCGCGGTATATATGTGTAGCAGTCAGAAGCTGAATTTAGTACACTGCATAAATAAAGGGTGTTAATTTGAAAAAGTCGCCGAGTTGGCTTTGCTTTTTTATTGGTTGAAAACCTAGTGAAAAACGCATGTGTTTTAATAATCCGTTCTGTTGTGTATAACTGACATTTCCACTTTCTCAGCTGTCATCGATTAAATGTTAGGTTAATTGTAAACATACTTCACAAAGGTTAAAAAAATTCGAGCCCAGCTTGAGGACTTTTTTAATTGAACATCTAATATGTACATAATACATATACAGGGTCGCTAGAATGTATGGAAACGGTTAAATATCTTGAGAACCAATTGTATAAATCAACTGAAATTATTTTTTTATTTATTCTTATTTAAAATAAATTGTTTTGCCAGTTCAGTCAGAAAGAAAGTATAATTGTGCTACGTCAGTCAATTCAGAAAAAAAAAATATCTATTTAAAAATGCATTAATTATATAGTAGCGCCATTAAAAAAAATCAAGTTGGCCTTGCTTCTTGAAAACAAATGAAGCAAACAAAATTTTTTTTGACGAATAACTAATTAGAACACCACTTGTGCCTATGTACCTAATTTCAGTTGATTTGAACAATTGGTTCTCAAGATGTTTAACCGTTTCCATACATTCTAGCGGTCATATACGAACTGCGGTGCAATTTTTGCTCAAATAGCACGTGCTCAGGTATATGGATAATTTTGACCGAATCGTGGTAAAAATGTTGCTCAAGTAATAGGTAGTCAGGTACCGTTGACCAAATAGCGGTACATTTCCGTTCGTGGTTAGGGGGCAGGGCACAACTGTGTCAGTAGTATATACCTGTATAATCTTTCAATTCAAAAATAATGAAATTTCAAGGTATAATTTTGTGAAATGGGTCAGCTACAAATTTGCTAATATCATGTCATAAT